CACAATGTGCCATCAACCAGCCCCCAAAATACCCCTATACTCTGCACCCCCCAGAAAGGTGACAGGTGGAGAACGCTTCGACATGTAAAAGCAGGAAATGCAGTCATAAAGCTTACAGGAGCACTGCAGAACAGACTGCCCTCATCCATCATGCTCCCAGTAAATTGGCCACTAGTGGTAACTGATTCAAAGGACTATTTCTTTACCACCCTTCTGCACCCTGATAATGAGCCAAGGTTTACATTTCCCATCATGGCCCTGAACAATGCACAGCCTATGCAAAGTGATTGCTGGGCTGTCCTTCCTCAGGGGATGCAAAATAACCCGACAAGGTATCCAACAGCCATGATACATAATTATGTAGATGACACATTAATAACCACGGCCACAAGAAATGAACTGCCATTTGTTATTACTGCTCTAACCGAAACCATCCAAGATGCAGGACTTCAGACTGTTTCAGAGAAGATCCAACAATCACAACTTTGGACTTGCCTTGGACGGGAACTAATGCAGCAAAAAGGTTCTCCACAGCCACTGCAGCTCGAGGTAAAAAACACTTTACACGAATTGCAGAAGCCTCAGGGGGCTGTCAACTGGTTAAGGCCTGTTTTAACCATAACCACATGGGACCTACACCCTCTGTTTGAGCTGCTAAAGGGGGACTCCAGCCTAAGGTCTGACAAGTCTCTGGCTGCAGAGGCAAACCAGGTGTTAGACATTTGTGTCAAGGTGATACAAACCAGACAAAACATGAGAAATCCTGAACGGCAAATCTGCCTAGTCCTTGTTTCCAGCAGGTATGAACCATTGCAGTTTTGTTTCAGTGGGATCAGACCGGCAAGACCCGCTGCAAATTCTAAGTGACCTCTTTTTGCCACACACACACCACCTAAAAACTGTGTAGGCTGTTAATGAGATGTTTGCAAAGCTTGTCATTAAAGGCAGAGGACGACTACAGGAACTGGACAGAAGGGATCCAGCTATCATTTACCTTCCAGCCACGAAGGACAATTTGGATAGGATGCCAGCTGAGGATGCAGGATTCCAAGCTGCCCTGGCAAGTTTTGACAGTGACATGTAAATTCATCTCCCTAAGCACAGGTTGTGGGCAAAAATCGGTAATTTACCTTTAAAAGCCACACCAGATGCAAACCTGAACCAGTGAAAAGCCTCAGGGCCTTCACAGATGCATCTGGGAAAAACACAAAATGCTGCAATGCCTTGAGTAAATCCTGCCACAGAACAGTGGGAACGAGAACTACAGACCGTGAATCAAGGCTCTGTGCAGGTTCTGGAACTGACTGCTGTTCATATTGCCTTGGAAAGTTTTCTGAACAACCCTTGAATATTGTAACAATGTCTTTTATACTATAAGGTTCATACCCCGTCTTGAAAGTTAGTTTCTTTGAGATATTGTTAACCCTCACCTGTTGTTTGAAATGTGTTCTGTTTGGTTCTTGTGATTCACAGAAGGTATGATTTCTATACAATACACACAAATCACATGCTGACATGCCAGGGCCAATAACTGACAGAAACTGAGAAGCTGGTAAAGCAGCAATGTTTAACACCATACCCAGAGTTCTAAAGCAAACAAAATTGTCTCATTCATTTTTCCATCAGAATGCACATTCTGTAAAGAGACAATTCAAAACAACGATTAATAAAGCTCAGACATTATCAGGGCATGCCCACACTGTCAGAAAATCACACCCATGCCATCTCAGGAAAGCATTAACCCTAGAGAGTTAATGGCAAATGAGATCTGGTGAACAGATATACACATCTCTGAATTGGACATATTGAAATATGTACATGCACATAGATACACATCCACAAAACATAACTGCCACAGCATCCACTGGACAAAACGCAAGAGTGTAAAACACAATGATTTAGTTGCTTAGCAACCTTTGGTACCCAAAAATGGATTAACAATAATAATAAAACAGCTTTACTTCCTATCAAATAGGAAAATTCTCACGTCACAAGCATTCCACACTAACCTATAAGACAAGCACATGACACATTGAAACACATACTAGATAAAAACAAAAAGGGGGAGAATCTGTGTAGCCTGCAAGAACATCTGTAAAAAGCCATGTATGTTATTAATTTTTTAAATTGTGACAGCACTGAAAAGCGTAAGTATGAAAAGCAACATAAACCCCAGGCTTGTGCCTCTCCCGAACCACCGGTCGTGGTAAGGAACTTGATTTCAGGACAGTGGACGAGATCCCTAGATTTTGTGACAGGGGGAGGGAGCTATGCCTGTGTAGCTACAAGAAAAGAACTTAAGCAGATTTCTTCCAGGTGTGTAAAATCCTATTTAGGTACACGACCACAACAGCAGGAACCAGAGTAACGTAGAAGTTTGAAAAGAGTTATGTTTATGTTCCAGGTTTACATTAGGAAATGACCAATGTGGTAAGAAGTAGCCTGTAAAATGTGCGTGTATGTGTGTGTGTGAGTGAAGGTGGCCACCGATGAATGAAAATGAATGAAAGGAGTGAATGAATGAAAAGAGTAGTTTGACTAGTCAAATATTAAAACACAAAACACCTCACAAAATAATATTACCTCAGCCACAAGGTTGCTTTTAAGAAAATTTAGTTTTGCTAAGATTATCCTGTTTTTTAAATAAAGTTGAATTCCCTAGTTATAAAAACCCTCAGATTAATAAAGGTTGTAAGTTTATATGCGGTTGGCCTAAGGCCCCTAAGTTAATAAAGGTATTTCTCCAAGTTGCACTACCCTTTAGGAATATAAGAAAGTTTTAAAAAGATTTACCATAGAAGTGTAAGAAACCAAGCAAGCGATGTGCTGGGTCATTGCAAACCTTGGTAGTTTACAATGTACTGTTCTGAATGTTTGCACTGTTGTTGTTTTGCACTGTTTTCGTGACTTCTTTAGATAATTAAGAGCGGGGTGATGTGGGAGGCGTGTCCAGGGCACAGAGGACGTGCCGGGGCAGAGGAGCCCAGGGGACCATGCGCCGACATAGGTAACCTCATTGGCTAAAGAAGTCACATGGTGTAAAAGGATAAAACCACACCGAATTTGAAATAAAGCTCTTTTTGTCTCAGCACCACACGAGGAGCAGTTATTCCTTGTTATACAAGGACTTTGCGTCCCCTACAGGGTGAGTGGGTTGGCGTCGGCTGAGGAGCTCTGGTCGTACAAGTTCAGGTTGATATAGTCAAGAGACTCGAGAAATTTAGGGTTGCAAGGAAATAAAGAATTTATTGAAGAACAAATAAGCAAAACGGCGAGCCGGGCGATCGGAGGAAGCCCCTTGTTCCTGCCACAGTCCGCAAAAGGGAACAACAGGGCAGCACTTCTTATACCCTTTCACAACCACCTCCCCCCAATGTCACCTCATCTGTCCATTGGCTCCAGTTTCGCGGGTTAGATTCTGTTTGGTTCCCCTTTCACAGGCTGTAGTGGTTTGAACCAGATTTTCCCCCAGAGGCTAAGAAAGTGGTAACCCCCAAGGGGTGGTGGCACTTGAGCTTTGAACCAATCTGCGCTCCTGCAAAATGTAAACATACCACAAGCAAACGGAAGAGGAGTTGTAGTTTTGTTGTTGTAGGAGAGGGTAGCCATGTTGTGAGCCACGAGGAAGGGGCTCGGAGCCCCTTGGAGGGCTCTGGCCCCCTCCCGACCCCCGGCTGGGGGGACTGCAGAGACTTGGAACAGTCTTAGACTGTTTGTAGTTAAACTGGGAGATGTTTTCTCCACTGTGAGTGAGCAGAGACAGCAGCGGCAGACGCAGCGTCCAGAGACTCTGGCTAAGAGCCAGGACAGATACGAACTGAACTGGAGAAGCAGCAGAGACATGCAACTGAGTAAGGGAGACACCGAGTTGTCTCGGAGAGCCGAGAAGGAGAGTCAGCAGCAGAGCTACAGAGTTTTGGGGGTAAGAACTGAACCAAAGCCCCCAAACTCCTTTGAGACCTCCGGGAAAGGAGGGACATGGACTCCTATTTTGGAGAGTAGTTTTGGATGTGCAGCACTGGAGAGAGAGGAGCTGAGAAGCTCAAAGATGTCCTGAAGCTGGATTGGGACAGAAAAGGAATGTGGGGGGAGTTGACTTTGGCTCCCCCGCTGCTGCTGACAAGCCTGGCAGCCTGGAACAGAGCACAGGAGCTCTGGTAGAACTCTTGAGGCAAAGGCTTGCAACTGAATGCTGCCCAAGATGTTCTGACTCAGGGGTGAATCCCCTGAGGAAGGGACTTTCACGAAGATGCCCCTGCATTTCATGATATGCCTGTGGTGAGGCGAGCCTTGTCCCTGCTGGCAGTCCACAGATGAGGCCTTTGCTTGGAGTCGAAGGAGAGCCAAGAGGGGTGAAAGGAGACCCCCTGTGTCTTGAAGACCCTTCGTTTGGAGACGACGGGCCAAGGGGCTTGGAGATCCTCTTGTGTGTATTGAAAAGAGATCCAGCTATCAGCTGCTGCATGTGAAGAGGACTGCTGCCGTAGAGAAACTGCTCAGAGACTAGAAGGGATCTGTCCTTCTTCCCTCCTGGACTTTTATTTGGAGGGGGGAAGAGATCTGATCCATTGTAAATACTTATGTCATGGTAGAGATAGCTAAGATTGTATATAATGTATTGTAGTATTTATTTGTATAGTCATTGTAATATAAACTCCTGTTTGGTTCCTCTTTTCACGGGCTAATCCTGTTGCCGGGAGACATCAGCCAATAGTCCAGTAGTCAATAGTCTCTATGGGCCGTGATGCTGGAATTTTCCATTGCAGGTAGTGGTTTTTCAATCCAGACATCATAGTCTACCCTTCCCCCTGCTTTCTCCATTTTGATTCCTACAAATGTGCTTAGAACAAGTACTTTTAAGAACAACAAGGCATAATGTGACAATTCATCTCTGCGTTGTGGTTTGTTAGTCAGCAACTCAACAGATCTTGTGGTTAGTTACTACGCAACTCTCAAACTTGTGCTTTTAACAAAATGCTAAATATAACATTATAACATTATTGATTTGTCTCTTACTTCGATCTGCAAATTTATTCTTTAATAACCTATAACAAGGTCGTAGATTTCTGACAGGGCACTGATGATTAGATCTTTGTACTCAGCACTGTCCTTCACATACTCGTGAGCTTCGACGTTGTTCAGACTGTAGGAGTGCCAGTCGAACCTGGAACATGCAAGGAGGAGGTTAGAATACTAATGCTGATGGTTTCCCCCTCGGCAGCCTTTGGGGACAGCTTCAAAGCTGTGCTGCACCCACCTTGTCCAGCAAGCAGGCGATGTACTGCCTCCTGTTCTGCAGGTCGTGAGCGATCCACCTCAGCACAGCCTCGAGCATGGCTTCTTCTCGCCTCACGTTGAGCTCGTCCTTCTCGATGATGTGTGCCAGCTCCTCAACAGAGAGGTCTAGGAACTCCTCGGACACCTGGGACACCTCCTCAAAGTGATGCAAGATGTATGCGCAGGCGGCTGCACGCAGGTCGGGGCAGTAGTAACAGTTAGTGAGTCTCCAGGTGCCAATGCAGTTCTCAAAGCAGAGCCTGGAAATGAGGAACTCGCAGCACAGGTTGACGATGCCCGTGACGTTGAACTGGTCTGCTGCAGCCAGCAAACTCTCAACGTTGTCCTCCGTGATCGGTACTGTCCCAGTGTAGGCGTACTTGAGGATGAGACCCATCATTTCAGCTGAAACACCGGGGATTTGATAGACCATCTTGTCACAGTTGGTAAACAGTATCCTGAAAACACAGCACTGCTGCATTAAATCCTGTCCTTGGGTCCCCTGTGTTTCCCGAACTCCCAGGGCAACAGTTTAGGCACTGGCAGGAGCCCTGCTGGGAGGTTCCATAGTTTATTAATTAATGTTTTACTTGCTGGTTGTTTGAAAAAGGAGAGAAAGCCTCTGGCTGGGGACAGGGAGCACCAGGGTGAACGGCCCTCATGCTTCCACAGGAATCATAAAATCACAAAATGGCCTGGACTGGAGAGGACCTTAAGGATTATCCCATTCCAACCCCTGCCATGGGTAGGAACTCCTTCCACTAGACCAGGTTGCTCCAAGCCCCATCCAACCTGGCCTTGGACACTTCCAGAGATGGGGCAGTCACAGCTTCTCTGGGCAACCTGTGCCAGGACCTCACCACCCTCACAGAGAGGAATTTTTTCCAACTATCTAATATAAACCTCTGTCAGTGTGACACCATTACCCCTTGTCCTGTCACTCCAGGCCCTTGTAAATAAATTCTTGTGTTTCCAGTACTGACCCGAAGTAGACACTGCAACAGGAGAGGATTTGCTTGTGAGCTTTGAATTCCACTCCGTCAACTGTTATGATCACATCACAGGGTCTCTCTTCAAGGCGGAGCTTGTTGGAGATGCTGCAATTCCTTTCGCTCGTCTCCCTCTCCATGTTGGAGGATGAGCTATCCCCCACCTTGGAGTCTGAGGCAGAGTGGACCTATCTGACGCGCGTGGAACACTCTGGTGTTGCCTGCAAACATCCAGCGCTGAACCCCCTCGCTGGCTCTGGATTGTGACCCGTGATGACATCACAACCACAGGGGTGACCCAGGCCCAACATTCCCTGGTTGCCCGGCGCCTTCACTTCCCCTCGGCCCAGGTTCTGCTGAACCCCGGGCCTGCACAATGTTAATGGTTGCTTGGAGTAAAATGGTCTGTGTGATCCCCCAGCATAAGAATAATGAATAATAATAAATAATCCTCAGTATTATTTTGCCAGAGTGTAAAAGTCCCCCAAGGTGGGCACTGACTGCTGCTGAAGTGCCTTGTGCCACCTCACCCAGGAGGAAGCTGAGGCACAGCCCAGCTCCTGTCAGTGCTGAAGTCACACACACTGCCCCTGATTTGTCACTCGAGGTGTGCCAGGGGAGGTTTAGCTTGGCTATTGGGAAAGTTTTTTCCCCAAAAGGGCTGTCCAGCCCTGGCACAGCTGCCCAGGGCAGCAGCGGTGGCGTCCTCATCCCTGTCCAGGTTTAAAAGCCGTGTGGCTCTTGGGGACATGGGTTAGTGGTGGCCTTGGCAGTGCTGGGGGACGGTTCTCTGCGGGCATTTCCCGCACAGGGTTCCGCGACTCCGCGTCCCCGGCGCTGCGGGGCGGTTCAGTGCCGGGCCCTGCCCGCGGCTTCTTTATTGGAACCTTTCCTTTCTGTTCCGCCCTCCCCGCTCGCTGCGGCAGAAACGAAACCGCCGGTCCCGCCCCGCGCTGCTGCGGGCGCCGGGCGGAGGCGCAGCCGGGGCGCGGGGGATCCCCCCGCACACCCCACCCCGAGCACGCCCCGCGTCCCCCCCGGCCCCGCGGCCGCGTTCCGGTCCCGCCCCCCCGGCCCCGCCCCGCGGCTGCGCGGCCCGGCGGGAGCGGAGCGGGAGCGATGATGAGCGGGGTCCGCGGGCCGGGAGCCCGGGCTGGGGCAGCGGCGGCCCCGGGGCTGGGCGGGGGAGCGTGGCCAGGAGGGCGCTGGAGGCTCCTCGGTCCCACCAGGGCGGCACCGAGCGGGGTCTCTGCTCTGCCCGCAGGTGCCCGAGCTGGAGAAAGCCACGGTCCGGATCCGGCAGCCCGAGCGCGTGCGGGGGATCCTCCGGACCCTCCGGGAGCAGGGGGTGGCCAAGCTGCAGGTACCGGCCCCGGCGGGGCAGGAGGTGCATCGCTCACGCTCCGTCCTTGTCTCAGCTGGCCCTTCCTCACCCCCCCGGCTGCGGCGCGGTGTGCAGGCGGAGGGGAGAAGCCCCAGAGGAGACGGAGGACGGGGCTGGTGGCTCTCCCCGGACGGTCCTTTTGGCTCCCGGTTATGAAGCTCAAACCGTGCCCCACTCCCCAAACCCCTCCTCCGCCCAGGCAGGATGGAGCCATTCGGTGCTGATAATAGCGCCGGGGTGGGAGGGTGAGGACACCGTCTGCCCCTGTCGCTGCCAGTGTGCGCCCTGGCAGCACCTTGGCTTGCTCTGGCTGGGGCAGAGTGCGCTGGGGCACACACAGATGTTGTTTTCTCCCCTCTTCCAGGTCACTTCTGACTTTGACATGACACTGAGCAGGTTTGGATGCAACGGCAGGCGCTGCCCCACATCTCACAGTGAGTGGAAGCTGCTGTTTTTACTGTCACTAGTTCTGTTTGGTTTCTGCATTTGTGTTTTTCATCACTGTGGTTTCTGTCATCCTCTGTCCCCTCCTGTGCCAAACCTGACTGCTCCTCATGCGGCTCTGGGCCTCACTGCCTGGTCCTGGCCACCCACTGCCCATTGCAGGAGCCGTGTCCTGGGCTGTCCATCTCCATCCCACTCTCCCAGCAGAGCCAGGCCCTGTGCTCGGCGCCTGTTGGGACTCCACAGCTGTGCCACCGCAGCTTGTTCTGGGAGGAGCCGGCGCTGAGATGCAGGAGAGCTGCTGTTAGAAAGGCTTTTAATGTCTCTGTGCCATTGTCATTGTATTGTCCTTGCAGATATCCTCGGTACCAGCCGTGTTGTCAGTGAGGATGGCAGGAAGAAGGTGGGTGCTGGGTGTAGGACACCCTGTCACCCGTCATTGTAAGGTGGCACTGGCTGGCGTGGCAACTCTCCTGGCTGTGCTGGCTGCCAGGCTGGAGGGGGAAGTGTCCAGGCTGCATTTCAGCCAGCAGTGACAGAGGAGAAGTTCAAAAGGGAAATTGATGTAGGGAATTGGCTATAGAACACGGCTTGCCTAGGCCGTGAGAACATCTTAGATAGCAAAGTTAGAGCGTCCTTGGGTATTCTAAATTGAGCTGAAAAACGGGAGCTAGGCATTACCAAAACAAAGACACTTAACGAGCCACCTGTGTAAACAATGGAAGGCAGTTACGATGATATCACCACCTAACTGAGTACCAGTAATGAGCCTAATTTCTGTAATATTCATGAACCTATTATAGAGTGTATATTAAGCTGCTGTCAATCTACAATAAACGAAGTTCCTGGATTCTCACATTGAGGTGTCTAGAGCTTTCCGTCGCGACAAATTGAATTTGCATGCACAGCTGTGGGTGTTTCAGCTCAATAAGAGGAGGAAGGGGAGGGATGTTTGTACCTGCAGTGTCTGTCTGGAGTGAGGTGAGGGTCAGCCAGGCTGCCAAGAGCTCCAGGTGTGCTCAGAGGGAAGCTGCTCAGTGACACAGTTTGGTTGTGTTTAGGAAGTGTGATGCTTTGGAAGACTTCAGAAATGCTGGTTGTGTTGTTTATAGTCTGTTTAGACCTGATGTTCACTCTGTTCTTTTCCTCTCTGTCCGACGCTCCAGCTGAAGGACCTGCTGCACTATTACTATCCCATTGGAATTGATCCCAACCGGACTCTGGAAGAGAAATGTCCCCTCATGGTGGAGTGGTGAGTGCTGTGCATGATGATCTTGCCCTTGCCCTGACAACCTCTTGTCCCCGAGGACTGCAGGACGCAAGGCTTGAGCTGTCCCTGGGCTTTGTGGTGATCCTGGGGAATCTAGTTGTGATTCTGACTGCCGAGGGCCTCTGCCCCAGAGCTCACTGCTGCCTTTCCCCAGGTGGGCCAGGGCCCACGAGCTGCTGGTGCAGCAGAAGATCCGAAAGATGACATAGCCCAGATTGTCAGAGAGCCAGAAGTGATGCTGAGTTATGGACATGGGGCTGTGGTACTGAGGTACAGGCACAGGGCTTGGCTGCCCTCGGCCCTTCTCTCCTGCCTGTGCAGTCAGGTTTCTCTGCTGTCACCACGCTCTGTGCCGCTGAGCTCACTCCCTGGCTGCAGGCTGCTCCCTTCCTGCACAGAAACCGCTTCCCCCTCCCTTGGGCCTTGGCGAGGAGCAGCCGAGGGGCCGGCACTGGGCACGGCTCTCCATGTGCAGGGTGGGATGCGGGGGCAGCTCCTTGCTTCCAGCAGAGATTTGTTCTCTGCACTGGAGCTGCTGGGCCTTGTCCAGGCCCTTGGCTCAGCAGCAGATTTCACCCACAGCACAAAACCTTTGCTCTAAAACTTGCTGCTACAGTGCCCTGGCAGCGATGGCCCTAAGGCTGGCTCAGGGAGCTGGGCTTTGACTGAGCTCCCAGGCTCAGGGAGGAGATGGCACCGTATGTCTGGGTCTTCTTGAGCCCAAGTTCCCCTTCTGCATGGAATTGTGTCCTGGCAGACTGAGGCTGTCACAGGTTGGCCTGATGGTCCTGCCAACCAGTCTGACCTGTTGCACATTTCCCACGTGGTTCCTGGCAGTGCCCTGTGCCCCCGCTGAGCAGGGGGTGTGATCAGGAGGTGCCAGGCAAAGGGCTGGAGTGCTCCATGTTCCCATGAGCACCCGCCCGACCACTACGCCCAGAGCTCTCCGGGGTTCTGCACAGGGAAGGCCACAGGAATGCTGGTGCCCCAGAGAGCTCGTGCTGCAGAGCTCACCTGTGTGTTTCTGTTTGGGAAGTGCTGGACAGAAACGGGAGCTGGGCTGGGCACGCTGGCAGCCCAGAACACCGGGCACCGTGCTGGGAGCTGGTAACACAACCCCATGCAATGGACACTCCTGCTCTAGGGATGGCTTCAAGGAATTCTTTGATCAGCTGCACAAGAACAATGTCCCCCTGTTCATCTTCTCTGCTGGCGTCGGTGACGTCCTGGAGGAGATTATCCGCCAGGCCAGCGTCTTCTACTCCAACGGCAACGTGGTGTCCAACTACATGGACTTTGATGATGACGTGAGTTTCTGCACCACACTGGTGTGGTGAGAGGAAAGGTGTGGGCTGGGACCAAGGGCTGGGACACGATTAACAGTGCCACCACTGGGTTAAGAGCTGTCTGTCTGTCCTGTGTGCTCAGGGAGTCCTCACGCACTTCAAGGCACCCCTCATCCACACCTACCACAAGAACAACACCGTGCTGCAGGCACAGATTACTTCCAGCAGCTGAGCACGAGGACGAACATCATCCTGCTCAGGGACTCCGTGGGTGACCTGACGATGGCAGATGGCATTCCCAGCGTGGGGAATATCCTCAAGACTGGCTTTCTCAATGACAAGGTGGGTGTGAGGATCAGTGTTGTGTTTCCCTGCCAGCCTTCCCCAGGTGCCAAGCTTTGGGGCAGCAGGGAGGGGCAGTGATGTGGAGGGGAGCTCCTGCTGCGTCTGGGGCATTGTCAGGGTGGTTATTGATCCCCTTTCCAGTAGCGAGGGCTGTGGGTGCAGTATCTCCGCCCTCAGCTGTTGGTGTTCACAGTCTTTCCCCCCTCCCCACCCTGTCCTGACGGCCGTGCTGTAGGTGGAAGAGCGGAGGGGGAAGTACCTGGAAGCCTATGACATCGTGCTGGAGAGCGACGAGACGCTGGGCGTGGTCAATGGGATTCTCCGGTACATCCTTACTGAGACATGAGCTGGGAAGAGGCATCCCAGCTCTGGCCCCGCAGCAGGCACTGGGCAGGGAATGTCCTCCCTGGGACAGAGCTGGAGGGAATCTGCTGGTACTGGCTGGGCTCCGTCCTGACCTCACTAATGCCCTCAGCCCTGGAGAGGGAGAGAAGAGATGGAGGAATCTTCTCCATTCCCTTTACCCCAACTCCCTGGTTCTGCTGCTTCCCTCTTGGACTGGCTTCATCCAACTTGGACTTCATCCCACTGGGAATTCATGCCCTCTACCTCCCAAGGCCACAACAAACCATTCCATGTTTCAGGAAGAGATATTCTGCACCTGCTTCAGCAGCTGAGTGTGGAATGGAGATGGTTTGCTGTGGGACAGACCCGGTTTAGATGAAGTTTTAGAGTCACTGTGTTCTTCACTAAGAAAACAAATCTCTCTCCTCCTGTTTTCCTGTTTCTGAGCCCTGGGGCCACCACTGGGCTGGTGTGGCCCTGCCAGGCATCGCATTGCCCAGCCCTACATCCCTCATGGAAACCTGCAGCTCCCTGGCCTTGGGTCCCACCTCGTCCCTCTTGCACCAAGACAATTCTTACTGTGGACAAAAAGCTTTTCCAGCCGTCCCTGAAGGCCCCAGAACTCAACTGCTGCTGCTGCCCAAACCCAGAAGTAAGTTTGTCTGCCAGGGTTGGGGCTGGGGTTTGGGTGGGGTGGGAGAGGAGAGGCCAGCCGGCAGCATTTTGGGTTTTAAGGAACATTTGAGCTGTCTGTGTTTCTGTCCTAAACTTCTGGGCTGATCCTAGGCTGATCCCAGGGTCTCGGAGCAGCAATAGGAAAAACCCTTGTTGTTTCTTACGATGGATTAGTGGGATGGGGGAGACCTCCAGGCCTTAGGGTGCCAGCCCCATCACCTGCAGGTGAATGCCCTTCCCCCCGCCCCAGCACGTGGCCGGCGACCCCACAAGGAGCCCACACAAACCACCAGGGAGGGACGGACGAAAGAGAGAGTTTATTGTGGGGTAGGGGTTTATAAGGCTTTTAGGAGGGTCAAAAGGGGGCCAATCACAAGTTCAGGGGCACAGAAAAAACCAATCAGGTAAGGGGTCAACAGCCAACAGGAAGGGGTTAACAAGGACCAATGAGAAACACCTCAGGACACTTTCCCAGGATACTCCTGTATGGGAGACAAGTCCCTCACAGGGGGTGTCGGGAAGAAGAAACAGTAACCTTGCAGAAAATACAAAAGGCCATTTTGAAACATGTTTAAACCACATTGAAAACTTCTGTCTCCATAACATTTGAACTGTTTTCTTCTTTTTCTTCACTAGTCCATCTCTGACAGGACTTCTTCCATCCTGCATACGGCAAATCCATTGCCACAGCTCCTCCTTTTCTGCTTTCTAAAGCTGGATATGCTTTTAATGATTGAGAGGTTCTGGCACAACTGAGCAAGCATGGAAAGACACACGTAAAGAGAAACACTACGGAAAGTCCTGGTACGATAACTACAATAATTTTCTTAATAGTGGAAGAGAGGCCTTTGAAGGGCAGCCAGTTGAAAAAATCATCAAAGGTCAGAGGATCAGCTTGCTTGATTTCATGAACTAAGGACTTAAGCTGATTAATCTGGGAGTGGATAGATTGGGAGTGATCAGAGAAGTTGAGGCAGCAGAGGCCTTCAAACTCCTGACACCCATGGCCGTTTACTAGAAGGAGAAAATCTATTGCAGCACGATTTTGTAACAAGGCCTTCTTATTGGTTTGGGTATCTTGTAATAGATCATCAAGGGCAGCACTGGTGGCATCAGCTTCTTTTGCAAGCCAACATCCCATTCTGGTAAGGAGCATTAAGTCTCTTGTGGAGCTGACAACTGGAAGCAGACCACTTAGAATGTTTGCGGTGTCGGACCAAAAAAGCATGTTGGAATTGCATTCTGCTGTGAATTCACTCAAGGACTGCAATTTTGCTAAGGGATGTTCTTCAACTGGAGGTGGGGGTGCTGCAGCCACAGGGACCTGCACTGCCTTAGGTGGAGAAGGTGGTTTTGGTTGTGATGGATAGAAGTTAAGAGGTGGGTGTAAACCTTGGAATTGCCTGCGCACTCTATGACGTGGGAAGGGTGAGGTTGTTTGGAGGTTAAGGTTTCTTTTTGCATGAATTTTGGGAGGACTTACAGGTAAAGATTTCATAAGGGTAGCTGGATTGTACAGTGTTAATTTTCCAAATGTGCAGGGGCCTCCAGCAGCTAATCTGGGAATCATATTCCAGACTCTAAGTCCACAAATTAAAAAGATTCCTTTTGGAAGAATAACTGAATCAGGGGTAGCGTGTATCTGGTAAGGAACCTCTTCCTTGCACCAAAAACTGAAGTTGGAATAAGGTCCATAAGAGGTGACATTAATGAATTCAGGAGGGGCAACATATTTGTTGTGAATGAAGTAAAAACAGAGAGGAGATATGATACTCCCCAAGATTTCTAATTCCTCAGGTCTCTCCCACTGATAGCTAAATGTCTGTCTGTCATGTGAAGTTTCTGCTGGTCTTGTGAGACAATCTAAGAATGGATTTTTAAACTGATCATGGTCATCACACCAGGGGATATATTGATTTCTAAAATCACCCCATTCTCTGGGTGTCCAGGGGATTCCTACCAGACAGGTCTTAAAAGGGTGCAAGGGATCTAAGGTAGAGAGACAGATAGAGTCAGTATTTAGTGATTGTGCCAGGTTTAGCCAAACATTTTGACCAGGGAGCATTACCCAATTTGGAATTGTTGGAGGAGGTGTGGCAAGGGCTCCTGATGTTAAGTCTTTCTGATTTGCTGGTGTTATGCTGCACACAAAAACCAGGATTATCCCGAAAGTGATGCTGATGGGGGATCGCTTCCTGTAGTTGGTGCTGAATCCGCTGGTGCTGGATCTGCTGCTGGTTGAGCTGGGAGGGAAACTTCTTGGTGGATCCTCACTAGTCTGGACGGTATCCATCTTGGACCTGCTCCTGTGGAGACACAAGCATGTCCTCTCCCCCAAACAATTAGAGGGACCGGACCAAGCCATTCTCCTGTCAGGATATCCTTGTATTTTACCTTAGCTTCCCCCGTTTTTAATTTTCCAGCTCCAAAATGATGTCCAACAGGTGAAACATCCTCATGCAGCCTATTTAAAAAATTGAGGACATACAATGCCTTGTTTAAACGTTCTGATGGAGAGAGACCTACAGTTGTTTTTTCTTGTTTTTTCAGCATATCTTTTAAAGATTTGTGAGTTCTCTCTACTATCGCTTGGCCCTGTGGAGAGTGAGGAATGCCAGTGGTGTGAACTATTCCCCACATATTGAAAAATTCTTTAAGGGAAGCAGAAATGTATGCCGGGGCATTATCTCTTTTAATTTGTTTTGGAATGCCCGTTATGGCAAATGCTGAGAAAAAATGTCTTTTAACATCTTTAGCTTTTTCTCCTGTATGTGCAGTGGCAACAATGAGTCCTGAGCAAGTGTCCACTGATACATGTACATATTTCAATCTGCCAAATCGTGGCACATGTGTCACATCTGATTGCCAGAGATCTAAGGGGCTAAGGCCTCTTGGATTAACTCCTTCAGATCTCACTGGAGTTACCAACTGACAGTCTGGACATGCAGACACAATGGCTTTGGCTTGAGAGGTAGGTAACTGAAACATTTTTTTCAATGATGTAGAATTTTGGTGGAAAAAGTTATGAGAAATTTTTGCTTTTTCAAAATTGTTAGGTGTAGGTACTGTGTTAACTGGGAAAGCTGAATTTGCTGCTTTATCTGCCACAGCGTTCCCTTCTGTAAGTGCCTGGGAGGCATGTATGTGATCTAATGTGAGTGATATAGAAAGGATGTTTCCTCTGTTGGATTAATAGTAACAATGTTTTAAACAGGGTAAACAACTTTTGATTGTTCAAATCTTTTAAATAACTATTTTCTATGCGACTTACAACTCCTACAACATAGGCAGAATCTGATACCAAATTCAGAGGCTGTGGAAAAAGTTGGAACGCTCTTACCACGGCTGAGAGTTCAGCAATCTGAGATGAACCTTCAACTTGATGAACATCTGTTTTCCATTCTCCTTTTTCAAACCAGGCTACCACTGCATTACTAGACCTCCCTGAGCCGTCTGTGAAGGCTGTCACAGCTTTCTTCAAAGGGCTAGTAGAAAAGTTATTTCTCAGTCTGGGTTGAGAGATGGAAAGAAACTGCAGAAAAGGAATTGCTGGTAGATGGGTTATCAGTTTGCCTGTAAAATCTGACATAACCAGTTGAAAATCAAACAGATGTAAATCATGATAACACAGTTGAGATTTGGACAGCGGAACATAAAGAAAATCTGTGTCCTTCCCTGACAGTTCTAACATTCAGAGTTTGCCTTTGTGACAGACTTTTGCAAGCATTTCAGGCACAGTAACAACTGTCTTTGAAAACTGGTGACTGAGAAATACCCATTCCCACAAAAGAAATTTTTTGGGTTTTGAGTCTAATTGTCCTATTACAGCAAAAGGCCGTTTTGGTCCACGAAAGATTAGCAATGCAGTAGGTAATCCTTCTACTCTCCTGTTTACCTGTTGTTCTGAAATTTTTTGGTTGATCACTTCAATAATATTTTCTGCTTCTGGTGTCAAGCGACGAGGAGAAGTTAGTTCTGCTTCTCCCTTAAGGAGCTGAAACAAAGGAGCTAAAAAATCTGTTGAGAAACCAAAAAAGGATTGTATCCAATTGAGATTTCCCAAAAGAGACTGCAGATCGTTTAGTGGTTTTATTTTGGTGGGCAAGGTTACTGCTTGAGGCCTAAATGTTCTCTCTTCTATTATCAGACCAAGGTACTTCCACGGGGAAATTCTTTGTTCTTTTTCTGGGGCTATTTCTAACCCATGATTACTCAGGGTTTTTTTCACAGATTTATGTACCAATGTCAATTTGTCAGTATTAGGGGCACTGATCAATAGGTCGTCCATGTAATGAAATTGATAGCTTCAGGAAACTGAGATCGAATTGGTTCAATTATATTGGACACCACAGACTGACAGATTGTGGGACTGCTTTTCATCCCTTGTGGCAACGTGAGCCAACTGAGACGTTTGGAGGGTTCAGCTGCATTAAGAGCTGGAACAGAAAATGCAAATTTGTGTGTATCACTAGGATGGAGGTAGATATTAAAAAAACAGTCCTTAATGTCTAAAATAACAAGTGGCCAGTCTGCTGGGAGCATGGCAGGGGAGGGTAGCCCAGCTTGGAGGGCTCCCATGGGCTCTATGATATTATTGGCTTCTCGTAAATCATGTAATAACCTCCATCTCCCAGATGATTTTTTGATTGTGAAAATTGGAAAATTCCATGGAGTGTTTGTGGGGACTAATCTGCTTTTGTCCAATTGTTCTTTTACCAAATTATGAATTTGCTGCAATTTCTCTCCTCTGAGGGGCCACTGGTTTATCCACACTGGTGTGTTTGATGTCCATGTGAGAGGTGGTGCCTGCGGCTCTCCAGTGGCCCTCATCACAAATTTGGAATGGATAAGATAATTCCCCACTGTGTTATTACATCTCTGCCCCACAAGGTTAGTGGAATGTCCAATATAAAAGGTTTAGATGAAGCTACCTTACCCTGTGGGCCTTGGACCAGAAGTGGTAGAATGCTCTGGAGAGGAATTTTGGATCCTCCTACTCCCTGGATGTCGACAGCTGGTCTTGTTGTACCCCAGGTGCTGGGCCAATCTTTGGCAGAGATTATGGAAATGTCCGCGCCGTGTCCAGTAAGCCAGACACAGATTTCTGTTGGCCTGAATTAGGAGAGAGAAGAGTACATTCTATTATAGGTCTGTCAAGAGGAACCTTTTGAGCCCAATTTATGCAAATTCCCTGTTCATCCTGGGTTTCTGCCTCTATGGGTATGACCTGTGCTATTTGATCCTCTGGATTAATCACTGTGGGTACAAAGTTAGGTTTAATTACAACAGACACAACTTTAGGAACTTGGAGACTCATAACCATAGGTAACACAGTAATGCCTAATGCAGTTGCAGAATCTGTTCCTGTGATAACACATTTCCCTTTAAAATCTGAAACCTGAGAAGAAGCAGAAGCTAATAACACAGTGTGATACTCTGTTTTTTCTAAGGTTTGAGGTTTTGAAGTTGCTAGCTCCAATTTAAAGGCACCTGTTTGGGGTTTTTGTTGGGAACTGTTTGAGAGGGGTAGATTAGATTGCTTAAAGGAGCTTTTTATGTCCACGTGCCGCTCTAAGCGCTCACCAAGCCGTTTCCCGAATTCTGTGTTCTGTGAGGAGGCCTGGGTGAGAGTGGGTTTCCATCTCTGTCAAATAGAGATTGACAGTCTAGAGCCCAGTGTAGCCCTCTTTTACATCTGGGGCAAAGGCCTGGACGAATGGTTTTTTGAGAATTGGGGTTTTGAAATGGTGGGCAGTTAGCTTTTATATGACCTGGACATTTACAATTATGGCATATTATTTTGGAGTGGTCTAGGGCTGCTGCTAAGGCTTGGGTCATTTTTTCTGCCATCTGCTGAGTTGCTTCTGCAATTTGGTTGCCTAATTGTATATTAGCTTCAGCTAATTGGTTAGACATTGACACCTGAGCTTGGACCAGGCTATTTGCTAATTTGTCATCAGGGCTAATATCTTTACAAGCCTTTACCACATCCATGGGGGTAGGGTCACGAAGGTTTCTGAGAATCTGTTGACACTGTGCATTTGAATTGGAGATAGCTAGCTTCAGGAATAGGGCATCTTGTGCTTCTTTCACCTTTATTTGTTTTTCTATAGATTCTTTTAATCCTTCTGCAAAGTCAATAAAAGATTCATCAGGCTTTTGAGTTACATTATTGAAAGGTGGAGTTGTTTGAGAGGCATCAACTACTGATTGTAGTGCCTGTAATGCCATATTTCTGGTAGCAATTAAGTCTTGTTTTGGAATTTTGGCCTGATCTGTATTTGCAGCATATGGACCCTCACCAAAAAGCATTTGTATTGTAGTTTCTATAGGTCTACGTGTAGTGGTACTAGTTTCATGAGCATCCTTTCTAATTAAAGCTTTCCATTCATCTAAAAACAGTTATTTGTACCTTATTTAGTAAGGATCTCATTATATCTTTTAAATCATTTGGAGTTAGTACAAAGGCTGAGAATAAAGACGACAGAATTCCCATTGCATATGCTGAATTTAAACCATAAGTTGTTACTGCCTTTTTTGCATCCTTGAGAAGGGGTATGGCTAAGGGGTCCCATACCGGGGGTGCACCTGGAGTATAAAACACTGGATATGCCTGCAATAAATTTAAATCATTACCATGACTAGGAACATTATTTATATCATTACAATTATTGGTATGGTTGGTTCCTGTGGAAGAAAGAAAAGGGTTAAAAGGAGAAACAGAATTGTTAAAATTATTTGACATATTTGAAAATGGATTACTGGGAGAAAACTTGTTAAATGTTGTTAAGGATTGTGAATGGTTTGTAGCTGGAAAACTGTTTGGTGAGCCTGGTGCTGCTGAGTCAGTCACAGCTAGGTAGGTCCATGCTGTAAGAGGTGGGGGAAATCCTGTCCGTTAGGCGAGTGAGTCTGTGATGCTCGGTCGTGAAGGTGCTCTGAAGCTGTGGGTGTCCTTGCATGTCGCGGCACGATGTAGAAAGAAGCGGGGGGAGCTGGAGCTGCAGGGCAGAGGTTGTCCCGTCCCCGGCGCCGGGCAGGGAGGGGGTCCCGATGACGTCATCCTGTCCCGCTCGGCATCCCTAGGGAACGCAGGAGCTCTCGCTGTCGGTCCGGGGTGGTTGGAAGCCGGGAATTCCCCGTCTCCTTTGTTTGGCCATGCGGGGATGGCGGCCGGGGGCTGCGGCTGTGAAGCTGCCTGGGGAAGCTGCAGTTGGTGATCTCCCGCTGAGAGTTGCCGGGCAGGAGGGGCTGGGGCTGAAGCCACACAAACGCCTGCTGGATTTTTCTCGGCACAGCTCTGCCCCGAAGAATGCCTGTGGCAGCTATTCCGTGTCAGGGGCGGTGGAATAAAGTTTTGTGTCACTGGGGGTGTGCTTGGAGCGCTGCTGCTAGTGGGTTGAAGAGAGTCTGGGCTCAGGAACGGCGAGATGGGATCGCCTGCTCTCGGAGGGAGAGGGGGTGGGAGGCGGGGAGGGGTCCCGCCGGTGTTGGCTGCGGGCGGTTCCTCCTCCCCTCGCCCCACCGGCAGCCGCGATGGAGGAGCCCGGGACGGGGCAGGGGCCGCCTCGGTGCTGAAGCCCGGGATGGGGGTTGCCGCCCCGGGTCCGACCCGTGTAGGGGGCTGGGGCGGGGCAGCGCCAAAACCAGCAGCCAGATCAGGGACCGGGTGCGCGGCACCGCCATGCGCCGACCACGGTGGGGGGGCTGAAGGGGGACCCCTGCCCGCGGCTGTTGGATGGGGTCTCCGTCTCCCCCGTTTCCCGCGGCGACTTCGGTCTGCTCCTACCTGAATGTCGTCAGGAAGGTTGGGGTATTCAAAACAGACTGCTATCCCGTGGTCCATCACGCCGGTCCATCATCGGAACACAGACTCGCCCCGTCTGTGCCTTAGGACTGCTTATATCTTCACAGAAGAGTTCAGACAATCGTTGCCTCACCACGAGGGCACCATTTACGATGGATTAGTGGGACGGGGGAGACCTCCAGGCTCTTGGGTGCCTGCCCATCACCTGGAGGTGAATGCCCTTCCCCCTGCCCCCCAGCACGTGGCCGGTGACCCCATAAGGAGCTCACAGACCACCAGGGAGGGACGGACGAAAGAGGAAGGTTATTGTGGGGAAGGGGTTTATAAGGCTTTTAGGAGGGTCAAAGGGAAACCAATCACAAGTTCAGGGGCACGCAGAAAAAACCAATCAGGTAAGGGGTCAACAGCCAACAGGAAGGGGTTAACAAGGACCAATGAGAAACACCTCAGGACAACTTCCCAGGACACCTTGTATGGGAGACAAGTCTCTCAGAGGGGGTGTCAGGAAAAAGAAGCAATGACCTTGCAGAAAATACAAAAAGCCATTTTGAAACATGTTTAAACCACATTAAAAACTTCTGTTTCTATAACATTTGAACTGTTTTCTTCTTTTTCCTCACTAGTCCATCTCTGACAGGACTTCTTCCATCCTGCATATGGCAAATCCATTGCCACAGTGGCTCTGGAGGTCACTGACATTGTTCAAGGTGGAGGCCACAGCACTTCAAAAGGGAGGACAGGGCCACATGATCCTCCCGTGCTGCTGGTTGGTCCCCCTGTCTCTGGGCAAACTGCCCCTCTCCGGAGCTGAGACCTGAACAACTCTGTCGCTTCTTACTGCGAGCTGTGACTGCCCTGCAAACTTTGCAGGAACACCTACTTGTTCCTAACACCCTAAAGCACTCAAAAGCACAAGCACCCCCTGAGGCCATATGTTAGTTTTACCCTTGGGCAGTGCATGTCACTGCATCTTTCAGACCAGCCTGATCTTCTGTGGATACTCCTCTGCCTCAGTAGCAAAAGCCTTCCACTGGAATCGGGCTGTGATGTTACTTCTGTTGTGGGTGGCCGTGGTTCTGTGGCTTGACAAGTTCCAAAGAGTACTTGTCCAGCCCGATGTTGAAGTCCTTAGCTTTTCCAAGAAGTCTGGTGTGGGTATCTTCACCTGGAACAAAGCAAAGAGGAGTCTTTGCTCAGCTCCCTTGCTGATGGAATTACAAGGAGCAGAACAAACCACAGGTAACAGAAGAAAGTGTCCAGCTTTTAGCCGGATAAGTAATTCCATGGATCAGTACATTTATCAAATCCCAACAGCTCCGTGGGTACAGTGTGAGGATGTCCTGGACACCACCTTAAGCACCTTATTTCTGGGTGGGTTTGTAGAGATTTGTCCCCAGGTGACAGTGTTTACAGTGAGATTTGTCAGGTGTGCTCAGGTGACCCACTCAGATCCCAGGCAATTCTGCATCAAATTCATTCAGGTGACTCTAAGGAGCCCCACTCAGTCACAGCCCAGGGGCTCCTGAAGGCACCCCACGGGGCTCCTGCCTCTCCCAATCCCTTGTTGCTGACAAGCAAAGATTCCTGGGGGCAGGTGTGAAGAAAGGGAGGTCCAGGGGAGCAAGGGAAGTGAAGCCCACGGCAGAAGGGAGCAAAGGTGAGGAAACAAGACACAATGCTCTACAACATTCAATATGACAAAGCACTAGAAAATCAACACCATGAAAGCCATCATCCCCTCCCTGTCCAAACCCACGGCCACACCAGTCTAGAAATATTTGATATCATTCTGATCTCAAACACCAAGCTGAAACATTTGAAATGAAAGAAAGAAGGGCAGAGAGACAGACTAAAAGTACAGAGCAGCTTTTATATGAAGACTGAATGGGGTTCCTCAACCTAGAAATCAAATGGGAGACAGATGGGAGAGGTTGGGAGAGCATGAATGGCCTGGGAAATGGGAATAAGGGACAATTTGTCACAATTTGTCATCCAACAGGAACCCGAGGGCCTGAAAATGTTCTTAGACAGAAATGACATGTATATGTAGAGGACAAGATAGAAAAAGGGTCTGTGGCAAGACAACAGAGAAGCAGCTTAGGGGACAGAGGTGAGCAAAAGACACATGACATTGGAGAGAGTTGGATGGAAAGCTCACACGTCACAGGCAGCACTGTCCAGGAACACAACTTCAGCCCTGCACATCCACACTGCAGTGGAGAATCAAGGTTCCTCCTTCCTCCACTCAGCAACTCCCAGCAAAACAGGATTCCAAAAATCTCATCCCTGTTTGAGGGCTTTATCCACTTTATCAACCCCCTAAACACTAACTAGTTTGCACTTTTCGTTGCGGTGAAGCTGGGACGGGGCGGTGCTGCTGGAGGGGGAATTCAGGTGGCTGGGACAGTGGGGAGTGCTGGTAGAGGATTGGGGTGGGGGTGCAGGATGGAGGACACCATGCTGGCACCAGGGTCCCCCCAGGGATGGACCAGCACACAGCAACACAGCACATCCAGGACAGGGGCAGACTCAGCCTTGGCCCCTTCTCTGCTCACTTCTGAGCACTGAAACACACGGAGGCTTTGAAAGGAACAGTTCTACAAGTAGTTTGCAGAGCAAGTCTAACGTTATTCTGCTTAGAAAGGGCTCTGCTGTTCGGAAGGACGCGGGGTGAGTGCACCGTGCAGTGCCCAGCACTCACCTCTGTCGCAGTGCACTGCCAGGGATGTGGAATGGTGCCCAGTCTCCAGCGGGTGATATTCCACTGTCACTTGCTTGGCTTCACCAACATCGAGGGTTCCCGTGGCTGGGCTGACAGTGAAAGGGCTGCAAGACCAAGAGAGAGATCAGGACTCTTGGGGGAGGTTTGGGGACGATACTTGCAGTCTAGTTCACTTCAGCTGACTTGTGCAAGCGAGGAGCAAAGCAACCACAGTCAGCAGAAGACAGACAGAACACACAGCATCAGAAACAGCTACTGACTCTCTTTGGAGGAGATGCAGCCCTCAGAAAATCCTGTGGGATGAAATGAACTCATCTCCCCCATACTCTGCGTGGAGGCTCAAGGGTCCGACTGCCAGCAATCCCAGCAGAGACTGGTTTGGGAAGAGCACAGAGAGGGTTAAGAGCTATTTGCATGCACAACTTGACACTGACTGCCTCAGGAATCTCTTTTCCAGTCCCTTATAAACCTCATTCAAGAGATGCAAATGGCATCTCACCTGTCCTGTGAGATTCCAGCCTAGGAATCAAGAAGGAGAATAAAGTCTTCCTTGAAGACCAGAGAATAATGAGTTTAATTTGCAGTGTGGTTGTCTGGGGTTGTTTTTCCCCTTGTAAACATCCTGGTTTAGCCTAAGAAAGGGCACCTTTTATCACATTTCAATGAAAGCTGCTGGAAGAAAAGGAGCAATGAAAACTCTGAAGGAGTGCAACTGCAAATTGGAGCAATACAGTGACCTGGACACAGTACCCAAAAGGAGGGTCCTGTTTACAGCCTGAAGGATTCAATCCCAGCTAAATGAAGTGCCATTAAGAGCAGCACATCAAGGGAGCTGAACAGGAGGTTTCTGTGTATTCCCCAGCGATGCAGTCTGGGATTCTGGAGTGTCATCCAGGCTGGTAACTGTTTGCTTGGCCCACCAGAGAAACAAGGGAAATCATTAGGCAAATGTGTTGGTGCAGCTTGGATTTAACAGGAGCAATTTGGCTTTGTCACCAGGTAAACAGCTCTTGCCTGACAGACACAAAAACCAGTGCTTTAGTGCTTCAGGATAGCTCAGGTGAGAGGTGCTTCTGCCCAGTGGGTTTATTGGCTGACAGTGGGAGGCAGCCATTTCAGAAGGTGGTGGTGCTCAGGAGGGTGCAGACCAACCACTAACGTGTTCCAGCAGTCCCCAGAAAATCTGGGAGAGACAAAGCTCAGGGCTTGCATCCTGCTTAAAACACTAGAAGCAACAGCAGACCCCACACGTCCTGCCCCTTTCCAGCTGTGGCTGCAGTGCAGCAGCTCGGATGCTCTGGTTCCTTTGGGATCCTCTTTCCCAACTCTGCCATCACCCAAAGGTGTTTTGCACTAAGACAGATGAGCTGCTTTACCTCTCAGTGCTGAGGCTGTAACAGGCTTCCAGGTTCCCGGTGTTGTGAACCAGCAGAGTCTTCTGGGTGCTGTGGTTGACTGGACACGGCGAGAAGTCCAGCTGGTCAGGGAGGTCCAAGACTGGGCGGGCACCAATGGCCCGGATTGGCACAGTGAGCTTTTCTCTTTTGCTGATGCAGACAAGCTGGTGGAAATGATCCTGCAGGAAAAGTAACTGGCACAGCATTGAGGGCATTGAGTGCCATCCTCATGGCAGAAGAAAAAGTGCTGTTTTCTATGACCCTTTGTGGGCGTGAATTGACCTCTCCCACCCCAAAAACGACCACTAATTCATACTAATAAAGGCTGGAGAACAGAGCATGTGAAAAAGCATCAGTTTTGCTCCATTCCAATGGGAAAGAATAAAGCTCTCTGGATCATCTTTTTGTTCCTCTGGTATTTTCCATATTTAAATCCCTTCCACTGAACCTAGAGATGGCTAAACCTCAACACCCCTCCCTGTCATTTCCCTGCTGTTCCATCTGCCTCTTCCCCCGTGAACGTTCAAGAACAGGCATGGAGGGAAAGCACAGCCCTCTAGGCCCAGCTGCAGGGCCTGGCAGCACCACGCCGTGACGAGGTGTGACCAGCTCCAGGCTGCCTGCCCCCAGCCCAGAGCCGACCTCACAGCACGGGCTGGGCTATAACCAGCGTGCAACAAACGCCCTGGCTTTAGAGAGAACGTTCCTCCAACTCACCTTGCTCCCCTCAGGGGTGAAAAGGATGTTTATAGTACAAACTGAGCCCGGTGGGATCTGATGGCACACACCATTGGGGCCGACCAACTTGAAATAAGGTGAGCTGTCCATGGTGACCTTCACCAGCCGAGTAACCTGCAGGAAAGACACAAAATGGTGATTTTGCCACTTGTGCAAACAGGAGGAGACCTGGGTGTGCCCTGGTGACAGCCTTCCTTGACCATTTTCCCAAAGGACTTTTAGCTCTGGAGATACAAGCACAGGCTACACAAGGGTGAACTTGGATCCCTCTGCCTGGGCAAAGCGGCTCGGCCAGAGGCAGTAGGGCAGTGCCTGCTGGGAAGGAAGGTCAGGCACCAGCAGTATGGAGATAGAACACCTGAACCAAGTCATCCTCATTTCAACAAGCCCAGAGAATCTGCCTGCTTCTGCCTGCACACAGCCACGCAGCCCTGTTCCAGAGGGAGAATGTGCTACCTGAAGGCAAACCAGCACATTGTCCTGGGGGAAGGAAGAAATTCCCTTCTAACAGACTGAGGTGGAGGGGGGAAGTCCAGCTGTGGGGAGACAGTCCTATGGGCACACCAGCAGAGGAGACCAGACTCTTGGCCTTCCTGGGAAACTGAAGAGAAAAGGAGGAACACAGCAAGACAAAGAGACAAACCCTGACACAATGAGATGGCAAAGAGAGTTGAAATGGGCTGTAAAGAAGCAAGGGAGAAGCACAGGACACTGCCAGGAAAGGCTGGTGCAGAAGATGGGAGCAGTCAGCTTGCCAGAGTGAGGGAAAGCCAGACGGCCCTGCAGGCTGGGCCTGTCAACTCTGGGCTTGAAAGGTTATTTTCTGCCTGGAGAAACATGAGCAGCACCGACTGACAGTGTGGTTTCATTATTAAAAGCCAGTCTCAGCTCTCCAGGGGCTCTTGCTGCCTGGTGATTGTGGCCAGGCAGCTGCCAGTGCAGGCAAGCCAGACTGCTGGGCATTCCTGCAGCCACCCTGCTGCCACTTTCTGCCCTCAGGGGAACACAGGCACAGGGACAGCAAACAGGCATTTGCTAGCACAGGGGTATCAACCCCTGAGCACCAAATCCCATCTCACAACCTCTAAACCAGGTGATTTGGACTCCCTGCTGTCTATTCCCACCAGCTTGCTCTTGGCACAAGAGTCATTTGAGAAACTGTTTCCTTGACTGAAATTCAAAAGGTCTCAGTTTTCCTCTTTACAGGGCAACACAATTGCTGACATTTTTCAACTTCTTCCTTCTCAGCTTTCGTGGGCAATTGCAAAACAATCACACTTTGTTCAAGTGAAGGTGGAAACCCTCAAGAGCCCATTGCTCTGGATGTCAGATACCACCAAGGCACGGCCAAAATCAGGGGAGAATCCTCAGCACGGGAAAATTCCCACCATCTTGCAAATCCAAGGTGGTGAATCTGGATGGGCCACAGCTGATACTTGCTCTGCTGTAAACCATGGGGGTTACACCACTCTGCTCTTCTTCTAGCACAGTGTTAAAGTGCCACATCCCAGCACTTACCTTGTCTCTATTCCTCAGAAGCAGGGCCGTTTCACAGACCTTGCCAAGGACATAGTTCTGAAACACCAGCTCGGATGGGACAGGCTCAAGCAAGGTCTTGTTCCGGTCAGGGGATGAGAACTGGAGAGGTGAGAGAGAGCAGGGAGAGGTTCAGCTGTTGGGAGGAAGGCTCGTGAATGACTCTCCTCTCTTGATCCCCGGTGAAGGACAGGCTCTTGGTGACTAGGTCTGCCCAGCTGCCACTGGGGGAACAGTAGCTCACCCACCTCTGCTCTGAGCTGATCAAAAGCTGCTGGACCACACCAAGCAGGCTCAAGCTGAGCAGCTCTTTTGGCAGGAGTTTCTCCAGCTTTCCTTCTCCAAAAAGCCAGGCAGCGCTTACCTCCAGCACAGCCCTGTGCTAATGGGGTCCCAGAGCTCTGGGCACTCACTGAGCACTCAAGCAGTAAGTGAAACTCAAGAATTTACATCAGACTCCATAGGAAACAATTTTTGGGTGACCTTTACTCTGAGGCAGGGAGACTGAGGCCCACACAACTCCAGACTCTAGAGCTTAGACATCAGTAAGAAGAGAACAGCACCAGAGAAGGTTAAGGGCAAAAAGAAAGTAGCACAGTAGATAGGAATAGGACAAATAAGGTGAGTGCTGCATGAGGATAACGTTCAGCTCTTTTCTCAGCAGTGCTGGAGTTGTGTTAGACTGGGAGTAATTCCCTCAGGCCCTCAGCCTTCAAAGGCCAGCACTGCCACTGTGCAGGGAATCCTATGACCCCCAGCATTTGCCAGTGACAACACCAAAGCAAGAGGTGGCTCTTTCAGTGGGACAATGGAAAATGGCAAGCTCGTGCCCTTGTGTCCTGCCCCAGCCTTCCCCCGCTATTGTGCCTTCGCCATGGTAGCTAAACTCCAGCAAACCCCACCAGCTTCAGCAGAAATTATTTGTGTTGGCTTAGCACAGATCAGGACTCCAGCATCTCACTAGGAGAACACGTTTTGCCTTTGCCCCAGCAGAAGGAACTCCACCACCACCAGCAGTTTGCAACGACAACAGGACCCGCACACTGAGGGGTTTCAATGAGCTGGAGGCAAGGCACGCAGCCTCTTCAAGTGTCACATCAAACAGCAAGGAAAAGGGCAGGAAAAGGCTACCTTGGAACTGGAGTTCTCACTCGTGCCTGGGGGCCGGACAGTCTTGGGCAGCTTTGTCTCCTGAGGGTTGTCCGGCTTCTTCCTGAGCCTGAGACCAACCTCCCTGAAGTCAAAGATGGTCAGCTGGAAGGCAAAAAAACCAGCAAGAGCCTCAGAAATGCCCTTGTTTAGAAAGGCTTTTCTTGTTCAAGTGGCTCTGATGAGTCATTTGTGATCACAGCCACCAGGACAGTCCTGGAAGTCCTGGACCTGCTGAAGTATTAAACATCAGAAAATTAATGGTATAGAGCAGAACACACTTGCTCAGCCACACTGTCATCCTGATTATCCTCCCTATGCCCTTGGGGGCATTTTTGGAGCCAATTTACACCTCTAATATTTTTTTCTCTCCTGGAGAGAGATCTGATTCTGCTTGCACATTGTAATCCTTTCAGAAGAACTTTTCCCCCTAGTTTTCCTCACTTGTTGTTAATACTTTTTTCCTCTTAAGTTTAAAAATTAAAACCTTTGCTCTGAAAGAGAGCGAAGGAAGAATGAAGAAGTTTCAAACCAAGGAGAAAAACCTTAAAATCCGAATTTCTGTGAACAGCAGAACAAGTCTCCTCCCGCTGCATTAATGCCGCCTCACGAAACGGCGATGGCCTCTGCAGGCAGCTGCCTAAAAACACCCACGGCTCCTCGGGAACACAGACATGCAATTGTTATAATTTTTTTTCCCCCTAAAGATTTAATTTTTCTCTCTTTACATTCAGCCCCTCGGTGACTCCCGAGAGCCCTCTGCAAAGCCATAAACTGACTTTTGGAGGAGCTTTTGGACACCCCCGGGATCCTCCCCCGCGCTGCCGTGGGGCCCGTGGGTGTGTGAGGGGCTGAGGGGTCGAGCGCCTGGACACTGATAAATAAACATCAGCAGGGACACGGGCCCGCCCCCGCCGCGCTGCGCAAACGGCGCAGGGATACGCAAACGGCGTAAGGCGGCGCCGCGGGCGGCAATGGAGCGGCGCTACACAAATTGCGTAAGGGGGCCAGGAATGCCCACAGCCCTACTCAAACAGCGTAAGGAGGGCGCCGGTAATGGCAATGGAGGAGTTACGTCAGTTGCGTAAAGCTACGCAAATGGCGCAAGGGCCCTGCCCTCAGCGCTACGCAAATGACGGGAGGGCCACAGTGGCTTTCTGAGGGCTCGCGGACCTTTCCCACTTCATCCCAGTCCTCTCCAAAGGGCTCCCACTTTGTCCCGGTCCCTCCCTAAGGGCTCTCAGTTCCCTCCTAAGGGCTCCCAGTCCATCCCAGTCTGCAGGGGGGTCTCTGCACCCCGATGCTCCCCCAGGGGCTGCAGGGGCACAGCTGCCCCACCCTGCTCTGCCCCACGGGCTGCAGGGCCTCAGCTCCAGTGCCTGGAGCACCTCCTGCCCCTCCTTCTGCGCTGACCTTGGGGTCTACGTTGTTATTCCCATGTTCTCACTCCGCTCTTCCCTGGCTGGAATTCCTTCTTTTTCTTAAATATGTTATCCCAGAGGCGTTGCTGTCACTCCTGACTGGCTCAGCCTTGGCCAGCGGCAGGAATTCCATCCTGGAGCCACTGGCATTGTCTCCACGGGACAGGGGAAGCTTCTGGACTCTTCTAACAGAAGCCACCCCTGTAGCCCCCCCGCTACCAAAACCCAGCCACAGAAACCCACTGCACCCAGTTACTTCCACTTGCCCCAGGATGGTTCCAGTTTCCATCACGATGATCCCGGTCACTCCCAGTCACTCCCAGTTTATGCCAGTTGCCCCCAGCATGCACCCTGTCACTCCCAGTTACTCCCAGTTGCTTCCAGCATGATCCCAGTTGCTCCAAGGATGTTCCCAGTTGCCTTCCAGCATGGCCCCACTGGCTCCCAGTTCCCCCCTGCATAGTTCCAGTCACTCCCAGTTTTATCCTGGTCACTTAGAGTCGCTCCCGCTATGATTCCAGTATGGTGCTGGATCCCAGTTGCCCCCAAGGTGGTCCCAGTTCCTCCCAGCCACCCCCAGGATGGCTCCTTTCACTCTCAGGGACTCCCCATCTGAGTCCAGTATGGCCCCAGTCACTCCCTGGAGGATGCCATTTGCCCTCCGCATGGTCCCAGTTGCTCCCAGTATGATCCCGGTATGAGTCCAGTCACCCCCAGTATGATCCCAGTAACTTCCAGACACGTCCAGTAGGAAGCCAGTTTGATCCCACTCATCCCCAGTATGGCTGCAGTCCCTCTCACATACTCCCAGTATTATTGCAGTCACTCCCAGTATGACCCCAGTAGGACCCCAGTAGGGGCCCAACTGCTCCCAGTAGGATCCCAGTTGCCCCCAGCGTGGTTCCAGTTGCTCCCCTTCACCCCTACTATGGTTCCAGTCACTCCCAGAATGATCTTAGTCACTCCCAGCCACTCCCTGGATATCCCAGTTGCCTCCAGCATTCTCCCAGTCAGTCCCAGTATGATCCCAATCTCTCCTAGTAGGATCCAAGTTCCCCCCTGCATGGTCCCAGTTACTCCCAGTCACCCCATTGCAGTTCCAGTCCCTCCCAGTCTCTCCCAGTATGACTCCAGTATGATCCCAGGGACACCCTGTGTGGTGTCAGTCACACCCAGGATGAACCCAGACATTCCCTGGCACTGCCAGGATAAAGCCATTTGCCCCCAGCAGGGTCCCACTTGCTCCCAGTCACCCCACTGTAGTTCCAGTCCCTCCCAGTAGGATCCCTGTCACTCCCAGTCTCTCCCAGTATATCCCAGTTGACCTCAGCCTGCTCTCAGTCAGTCCCAGTATGATCCCAGTCACTCTTGGTCTCTCCCAGTATATCCCACTTGCCCCCAGTGTGGTTATACTCACTCCCAGTTGCTCCCAGTAGCTTCCAGCATGATCACAGCCACTCCCAGTGACCCCCAGTGTGGTCCTAGTCGCTCCCAGTATGATCCCAGTCACCTCCAGCGTGATCCTGCTTATTCCCAGTATACCCCAGTTGCGCCAACATGGTCCCAGCTGCCCTCAGAACGCTCCCAGTCACTCCCAGTATGACCCCAGCCGCCTTCACTGTGGGCCCAGTTGCTCCCAATAGGATCCCAGTTGTGCCCAGCATGCTCCCAGTTGCTCCCCATTGCTCCCAGTGGGATCTCAGTAGCTCCCAGTTGCCCCAAGCGTAGAACCACTTGCTGCCAGTATGATCCTAGTCTGATCCCAGTATGATCCCAGTACATATGATCCCGCTGGAGCCACGCTGGGTCTCGGTGTATCCCGGTGTCCCCCCCTTTTCTCTCCCCACAGAGCTCCTGAGCCGGCGGCGGCCGCAGCCCCTCCCCAGAGCTTCGGACCCAGCCTGGACCCCCCCCATCCCCGTGAGGATTTTGGGGGGGTCGTGTGTCCCCCCCTCCCCTGCTGTCACTCTGCCTCTGCCCGGCTGCTCCCAGTGATCCCAGTAAAGCTTCCCAGTTCTCCCCAATCCCGGTTATTAATATTTATATATATTAGTATATGTTTTTTATAAATTTATATATAATATATTGATATATTATATATCAATAATATATATATTAATTATATATTTATATATAATGTATTGATATATAATATATATCAATAATATATCAATATATAAAATATATATGAAATAAATATTCAAATACATAAACAATATATACATTTATATATAAATGTTTTAGATATCAATATATAAATATATTGATATATAATATATATCAATAACATATGTAAGTATATAAAATGTATATAAAATGTATATAAAATAAATAAAACATTTAAATACATAAATGATGTATAGAAATTAATACATAAATATGTCTTTATGTATTTATATATATTGATATATAATTTATATCAATAATATATATACAAATGTATAATACGTGTATATAAATAAATAAATAAATAAATAAATAATTTACATAAAAGTATATTGAGATAAATAAATTATTGATATAATATTTCAGATCCACACTTGTAAGGAACAGAAACCCAGAGCCGGGTGGTTTCCAACCAGAATTTATTATCTGAGAAAAGCAAATTCAGCGCTGGGGGATCAGGGAGGGGTTGAAAGGAGGCAGTTGTTCTCTATTTATTCTCTCTATAAATATATACATTCCTTACACAACAGCAAAAACATTACCCATTGTCAGGTCAGACATTGCCAGATGGGTGCTTGTTATCTGCACAGTTATCAACTTTGCAGAAAGGTGTCATTATCTAGTTAACTAAACCAAGTCCCTTCACTATAAATTTTAGACAAGGTAAAAGGGAGAACGATTTGAGGTCCATAAAAAGAAAACAGCCTGAGGTCAACACAACCCGGAGAGAGAAAAGAAAAAGAAATCGTAAAACTTAATTGGGCCCCTGTAAAGACATAAACCAAGTTACCTCCCTTTTACCTTGTCTAAGGTTCATAGTGAAGGGACTTGGTTTAGTTAACTAGATAATGACACCCAGTCCCTCCCAGTCCCTCCCAGTGGCTCCTGTTGCATTGACCAGTCCCGTTGGCTGGCGGGGCTGGTTTCGCTGTTGGGAGGGCAGAACTGGTGGGCACAGAAACCATTTATCTGGAGTTTTTCCGCCCAAGATGTGCGGGTCAGCCTCTGATTGCTGACACAGCAGGCATGCTGGAGGGAGGGAGACAGTGGCCCCGGGCATGGCACCTGGATGAACTGGGGGTCTGACCCTGCTGGTGGGAGCAGTTTCGCCTGCATTCAGGCCCCCGACTGCTGGAGCAGCTGCTGTCCTCAGTTTCTGGGACGCTGCTGTGGGGTGACCCCGATGTTACCTGACTGTCAGGGCTGGAGCTGCTCGTCTCCTGGGAGGGGGATTCCAGAGTCTCCTCCGATGTTGCCTGTTGGTTGCTATGGAGTTTGCTCTTACTGGGGGTGATGGTCTCGTATTCTGTCGAGTCGTCAGAAGATTCCTTCATGAGAGCAACATGCTCTGGGTCTTAACTGGAGGCTGTAAGGGGAAGCAGGAGGGACAAGATCGTTCCAGACCTGGGACAAGATAGGCCAGAGCAGTGCCCCCAGCCCTCCTGGAGCAGACAAGCTCAGCCAAGCCAACCCTGGACACCCATTGCCAGGCCCAGGGGCACCAGCTGCCAGGATCACCAGGGTGCGTTGCCTTTTCCCTGTGCCCGGGACTGCACAGCCATCACATTCCCATCTGGTTCTGCTGTCCCCAGGCCAGAGCAGTGCCTGTGGGTGCCCTCGGCAGCACAGGAGGAGCACAGGAGCAGTTCCCAGGGCCTGGGGAAGCAAACGAGTTCATGGAAGTGCTGAGCTCTTCTCCTGGGTCCTTCTGCTTCAAGCCCTGCAGAGCCCTGGGGTGCAGCTTTGGCAACTTACCCCTCCTCCTCTGCCTCCTGCCTGCCTCCTGGACAAAGGCACTCACTGGCATCCCAGTGCCTGTGTGTCTCTTCTAGCTCGGGCAATGCATTAAAGCCCTCCCATGATGGTGGCCTGATGGGAAAAGAAACCTGATGAGCTCCCTCTGTCCTGGAATCGGGCAGGTGCAGGGTGTCCCTGCCTTCCCGCTGTGCCATCACAGCAGGGGATGGTGGCCCCGCTCTGGCCTCAGATGCAGCAGCTCTGCAAAGAGCAGAGCAGCCCCATCAGCAGCAGCCTCAGGGCCTCCTCCTTGTCCCAGAGCTGGTTGGAAGGGCTGGGCTTTCTTGCTTGGGGTCTGGGCTGAGCTCCAGCAAACCTTGCCTTGCCCAAATCTTCCTACTTTTTTCACCTTCTGTGCTGCCCGGGAGACTACATCTGGAATATTCCTTGGGAGGAAAACGCAGATTCCTACTCGATCAGCCGGGTGGTGAAGAAGGTGGCTGGCAAAAAACTGCAGGAGAATGACACTCACTGATGAGGAGAGAGTGGCAGGGACTGCCTGTCAGAAAATGGAGAGAGCCCATGAAGCAACTCACCAGGCAGAACTGGTGGGCACAGAAGCCATTTATGTGAAGGTTTTCTCCACAGATGTCCGGGTCAGGCTCTGATTACTGACACAGCAGGCATGCTGGAGGGAGAGAGACAGTGGCCCCGGGCATGGCACCTGTGCTGCCCACCCTGACAGCCCCTCTGCCAGGCTGCGGGAGGGACACTTTGCTCTCACCTGGCTCCCTCCCTTCCGCGCCTCCTCCTGCCTGTCTGCCATGGTGAGTCAGGGAGTCTCTGTCCTTGGAACACCCAGGTGTGCTCCAGGTGCTCCTCCACTGGTTCCAAGGCAGAAGTGAGAGGAGTTTGCAGCACAGGCCAGAGCCCTGAGGCGCAGAGCCCCTGACTCGCTGCTCAGCCCTGCGTGAGCCCGGTCTCTCTCTGCCGTCTCCTCCTGTCGTCTGGTTGAGGAACACCTAACCAGGCAGGCTGGGGAAACTCAAATTTAGACAGAAGGAGCACAGAAACATGACAGTATTTGAAGACAGTCTACCTGCATCTGCAAAAAAAAAAAATAAAAAAGCTTTCTAAAAGTCCAGATACTTTACAAAATGTATCCCCTCCACATAAAAAATCAGATTTCTTTTCTTACCATCTGCACAGTAGCAAAAAGGCAAATTTCAAGATAAAAAAATAACAAGGAAATGAACATACTACCACAAGTTACAGCCACTCTTACCTGAGAAAATAACTCATGAACCATTCCTCTGAAGCCACTCAGACAATAAGGAATTGTTCATGGCATTCTACATGAAAAAAAAAAAAAGGATGGAAATTTTCAACATTTTGCTTTAGAAAAGCAGAACAAGTCACATGCCTGAAATGTATTGATCTTTAGGTAATTATTAAGTCAAGAAAACTTATGAGAGCAGTAACTGTATCTTTACAACTCAACTCTAAAAATAAAAGGACATTCTTGGCTGAAATAAAACACTGGAGATGACAGTGACTGACACACAACACACACGACCTGTGCTTCTCGTGACTAACTGCAATCTGCTCTTCTGTCTTCCATTACTTTAATTTTGAAAGACTTAGAGATCAAATGCAAACTTAACCTTTTTTATTGAGTAACTTATCACCCAATACCCCTCACCCCTTGTGCTTTTTTTTCACATTAAAGTCTTTAGAACCAGGCTATGCAAAATTAAATAAAACCTTTAGGGACAGTAAAGTTATTTCAAAATGGCTTCTGTCATCAGCTTCTCTGAATTGTAAGTCCTACCTTGCTTGACCTTCCTAAAAAATGCATCTTTTTGCCCTTTAGAAAACAGTTTTAAAGCTTTCAGCTTCTTTAACCTTTCGTCAGATCCCAAACCAGGGTCTTTAACAAAAGGAACACTATATTTGCACTACCTCCAGCCAACTTTTCTTGCCTTTTGTGAAGGCAAAAATGGTATTTTATTTTACAGCAGTTATATTTATCATCCCCACTACTTCATACTTAAGAAGAAGACTGGAATCAGTGGGTAAAAACACAATTTTAAAAAACATTCCTTGCTAAATTAAAAGGTATCCAAATATAAATTCCAATTCCTACACCTTGAATATAAAAAAGCAGAACTGTTAAACAAAACACACTACGAATTAAGAGGAATTAATTTTTTGAGACAATTACTTGCTATTTTATTTTCAGTTATTTAAAGAAACCACTCAAAGCTATCAAAAAAAAAAAAATCCCATAACTTATTTAAGAAAAGAGAAATCCAGCAGACACCCACCTACAGCCAGAACTTCCTTTAGGGCACAGTGTGTATGCCAGAACCTGTTCTATACTGCAGAACTGTGGCTGGGTTAGAAAACCACCATAATCCAAATCTAAAATAAAGACAGAACATTTTGCATAAAGGTCGAGAATTCCAGCGGTTGCTAAAACCTGTATTTCTATTTCCAAAAAAGGGTAAACTTATATTGTTGTAATGACAGATTCACATTTGCAGAGGAAGTATTGAATAATCCAGATTTACCTCCAACTGCAATGTTTAAAACCTGCACGGAGTTTTATAACCTTGCTCAAGTGTACACCATAGAAATCCAACAAATATGGCTAAACACAGCCTCCAACTAAAACTAAAGCTCTTAATATTTACCTCTTCCTCTATCACAGTGACTTTTTGTGATATATAAATAACCATGATTCGTGAAACAAATGGGTGGTTACATCAAAATAAAACAAACGGATTGTAAAACTTAATTACACCCCCATAAAGAAATAAAACAGACCCTCACAAGGTCAAGAGGCCTAAAACCTCCTTACTATCCTAAGAATAAAATATAGTAGAACTTTAAATCTTTAGGCGCCTGTTCGTCCAAGAATGCATGAATTATGACTGGTTGTAGAGATAACCCTTTAGCTTTAGCTGTAAGAAAACCCATCTATTAAATACTTAGCAAAAACCTGTAGAATGTATATGTCTATGAGATAATTAATATGCATGAAGTAGCTAAGATAAATACTAAATGTACCCTGTAGTAGGGGGGTGCAGATTTGGGAAACTGGTCCCATTTCTGTCACCCAGCCGGCTGCTGCTTTTACCAGATAATAAACTATTATTCGAAACTTATAGAAACTCGAGACTTTTCATACATTCAGAATTCCAATTTTGCCCTTACATTGGTAATTGCTGAATGCCAGCTAACACATAACAAACGTCAGGCATTCCATTTAAACTTGCATTTTTAGAAAGTCTTGCAAAAGGTGTTCTACAACTTCTAAAATTATTAGGCACCGAAAAGAAGATAAAAAATGCTTCATAAAGAGAAATGACTGTGAGGTCTCTGAAAAACGCATGAACTGAACACTAAAAACAAACCTGACACCCCAGAAACGTTTTTAAAAGCTTTCCACGTAACACACAAACTCATCCGTTTCCTTATCCTGTAACT